TTAATAGCCTTTTCAGTTAATTGTGGCTATTCTTCTTTCTTCCATACCAAAACTCGAGGAGGTAGGTTTTTAAAGGTGAGTTTCCGCCTGAACGTTTCATTCTCTGTTAACGTTACACTCCACTGGTCTGCCTTGCACTTTGAATAGATCTTTCACTCGTGCATGATTTGGCAACATCGTTTATTGGTCATTGGAAAATATTGGTTCACCAGTTATGCAGATCTCCCAAATGTTGGCACATTTCGTTATAAGTATTTTTTTTGAAAAGCACACTCATTAATGCTATCACCGGTCTCATCAGAACTGAAAGCTTTCAAACTCACTGTAAGTAGACATAAGTTTTCCAAATCCTAATTTTCACTTGAAAACTCTAATTCTAGCATTGGCAACAAACAATAATAATTTTTTTCCTTGACTTGACAGGCTCACTTGATTCACTTTTGAGAAAATGTTTGCCAAATATCCAAGTCTGATAACTATAGTTTGTCATTTGCTATTTTTTTTTTTTCTTTTTTTTTTTTTTAAGACAGGGTTTCACCATGTTACTTAGGCTGATCTTGAACTTCCAACCTCAGGTGATCCGCCCGCCTTGGCCTCCAAAGTGCTTGGATTACAGGCGTGAGCCACCACACCCGGCCGCCATTTGTTATTTTAAGTAAAACTGGTGTTTGGTGAATTCAGCTCACAATTCAACTGCATAAGTGCTTTTCCTTGAGATAAGCATATTTCCAATTTTGTCACACAAAATATTTGGAAGACATGTACTCAAGGGTTAAGACTTAAGTTAATAATGTTACTACTTCTTCTAGACAATATAATCAGTACAGTGTGGTATTGGCATAAAGACATATAGATCAAAAGATGCTCAGCCTCTTACAGGCATGAATCCAAAGGAGAGCTGTACATATATGGCCCACTGATTTCTTTTTCCATTTTCTGTAGAGGTGGCGTCTTGCCATGTGGCCCAGGCTGGGTCTTGAACTACTGGCCCCAAGTGATCCCCCTGCGTCAGCCTCTCACAGTTTTGGGCTTATAGGCATGAGCCACCACTTCCATCTTCATGATTCACCGACTTTTGACAAAGATCACAAGTTAATTCAATAGAAAAAGGACAGTATTTACAACAGATAGTGTTAGAACAATTGGAAATCCATAATCAAAACAAAACAAAGACGAACAAAGCTCAGCTTCTTCCCTTGCACAATTTAATAAAGCAAAATGGATAATAGAACTAAAGTAATAGCTACAATTATAAAACTTCTAGACAGAAAAATAGGGGGAAACTTTGAGGCCCTAAGTTAGGTAAATATTTTCTTAGGACTCAAAATGTATAAACTATAAAAGAAAAACATCATTGATTTTTATAAAAATGAAAACCTTCTATTCTTTGAGAGGCACTGTTAAGAAAATAAAAAGAAGGCCAGGTGCGGTGGCTCAAGCCTGTAATCCCAGCACTGTGGGAGGCCGAGGCAGGTGGATCACGAGGTCAGGAGATCGAGACCATCCTGGTCAACATGGTGAAACCCCGTCTCTACTAAAAAAAAAAAAAAAAATTAGCTGGGCATGGTGGCGCGTGCCTGTAATCCCAGCGACTCAGGAGGCTGGGGCAGGAGAATTGCCTGAACCCGGGAGGCGGAGGTTGCGGTGAGCCAAGATCGCGCCATTGCACTCCAGCCTGGGTAACAAGAGCGAAACTCCGTCTCAAAAAAAAAAAAAAAAAAAAAAAAGAAAATAAAAAGAAAAGAAGCAGACTGTGAAAAATATTTGTACTCTTACAACTCAGTGATAATAATGCAAACTTATTTTTAAAATGGTCAAAAAGGTCGAGCATGGTGGTTCATGCCTATAATCCCAGCACTTTGAGAGAAGGGAGGAGAGCTTGAGCCCAGGAGTTCAAGACCAGCCTGGATAACATAGTGAGACCTCATCTCTATAAAAAATAAACAAATTAGCCAGGCGTGGTGGTGCAGGCCTGTAGTCCCAACCACTCAAGAGGCTAAGGTGGGAGGATGGCTTGAACCCAGGAGGTTGAGGCTGCAGTGAGCTGAGATCACGCCACTGAACTACATCCTGTAGAACAGAGTGAGACCCTGTCTCAAAAAGAATTTTAATGAAAAAAAAAGTAAAAAGATTTGAATGAATACTTCACTAGAGAAGATATATGAATGGCAAAAAGTCCATGAAAAGATGCTCAAATCATTAATTATCAGGAAATTGCCTATTAAAACCACAATAAGATACCACGGTATACTTATTACAATTGCTAAAGTTTAAAAGATTGATAATGCCAAATGTTGGTGAGGATGTACAACAACTGGAAGTCTCAAAATTGCTGACCAGAATGCAAAATAGTTCAGCCACTTTGGGAAACTGGAAATTTCTTATAAAATGAAACATTTATGTACCTATCATATGCTCCAACAACCCCACTCCAAAGTATTCATTCAAGAGATATGACAATACACATCCACACAGAGATCTGTATGTGAATGTGCATACTAACTTTATTCATCATACCAAGAAACAGAAACCAGCCCAAATGTCCATCAACATGTCAATGTTTTAGCAAATTATATATCTATACGATGAAATACCAATCCATAATAAAAATAAAATAACTACTGATACATGAAACCACACAACAATAATTTTACTGCTTCATCAAGGACTTTCAAAGTGAAACTGAGGCTGGGCGCAGTGGCTCTCACCTATAATCCCAGCACTTTGGGAGGTCCAGGTGGGTGGATCACTTGAGGTCAGGAGTTTGAGACCAGCCCAGCCAACATGGTGAATCTCATATCTACTAAAAATACAAAAATTAGCTAGGCATGGTGGTGCGTACATGTAATCTCAGCTACTTGGGAGGCTGAGGCAGGAGAATAGCATGAACCCGGGAGGTGGAGGTTGCAGTGAGCTTAGATCATGTATACTGCACTCAAGCCTGGGTGACAAAGTAAGACTCTGTCTCAAAACTACAAATAAATTAAAAAATAAATAAAGCAAAACCGGTCCTTTTTTTCCCTCCTATTTTTACTATTCGTGCACTGTGGTGGGGAAGAATACAAAGACTACTGGTACACTTGGACGTTGTGCCTTGATTCATGCTTAGCTGCCAACAGTTTCACCCATTGTTGCTCTTAAGTCATGCAAACATCAACAAAGTGAAAGTGGCAAATAACAACTTAGCATTGTTAGGAAAATAGCTTTTGCCTTGTGGATCCGCTGTTAGAGTCTTACAGATTCCCAGGGATCTGCGATCAACACCCGAGAACTGATGTTTAAATTAATTCTAATAGTCACATTGACTTTTTAAAAATGACCCTTCTTTTTAGATATCACAAGGCATGTAAAATGCTTTCACAAATACCCCATGGAAAAAAGGAAGACCAACTCCATCTGTGGTACTATTTGCTTTACTTCCTTGACAAATAAAAGGGGGGTTGGGGGAAGGAGAATCCGAGTAGGCCCATGGGAGTGTGTCCGGCATGTGAAGCCATCCATCATGCCGTCATGGTGAGAAGATGCAGGCCTAGGACCAAAAAGGCAAGTGGTGCTGGGAACTCAGGGCCCTTCATCACCTTTCCCCCCATGATCCCACTGGCTATACATCCCTTCACAACACAGAACACAGTCACACACACACACACACACACACACACACACACACACAGTCAGGCCAGCTCCACACGCCACAGCTAATCTCTCACAACAAGCCCAACCATGGTTACACTCACACAATACAATCGTACAGTCACACCAAAGCCACAAAAAAGCCAACACCCCACCTTATTGTGCTCAAAACCAGGTCACACTATTCTATGTTCACAGATAGAGAATCTCAATGGCCATACACCCAACCATCGTTATACACAATCTAGCAGAATGGCTCCTATCTACTGGGCCCCCTGGCCATGCCAGCACATCCCCCAAGATATATTGCGCATGGGGTGAAATAATAGCTTTTGGGCACAGGCCAACCTGAATTCAAGTTCACGTTCTACGACTTATTATTTCTGTAACCTTCAGCAAATCACTTAGCCTGCCTGAGCTCACATTCTAGAAAATGCAGATAATTCCTACTTTGAAAGCTTGATGTGAAGATGACCTAAAATAACCAGATGAGGGGCAGCACCTTGCCTGGCCCAGTGTGTCCTGGGGATGCAGCTGTAACTGCCATGTATGGCATCTGTCACCAGAGGGCACCAGGGCCACAAGGTGTCTGGGAGATGGCTGGAAGAAAATATGCCGAAAAGGCCAGGATTCCTGAGGAGTTTCGGGGTGAGCACAGACAGGGTAGGTGTGGGATGTGTGTGGGGCTGGGCGGCTTTTGGGAACCCAGACAGGTCCCGGCCACCCAAGTGTGCTCAGGGGTACGGTGGGCAGCTCCCAGAACTATCCGGATCTAGGAAGGAGGATGGATGAGCGCTGTCTGTGAGCCAGGCCCTCTTCTGCGCTGAGTTCACACACATTAAATCTTTTAGTCCTTACAACAATACCGTGGTTGATAGTCACTGCTAATATTAATAGTATTCCTGGTGAGGAATACTGAGGACGCTGAGGTCCATAGCCATTAAGTGGAGACCTGGGATACAAATGCAGGGAGTCTAGCTTCAGAATCCACAGGCCTAACCACAACTGCACACTGCCCTCACAGTGACCCTGCGTCTCCCCTTGCTGGGATTCTGCCAGGACTCCCTAACCCTGGCTGTCTTCCCTGGAGTTCAGCCAGCCCCAGCTGGCCTTTCCCCTCTTCCGGCCTGTTCCCCACCTGCTCCCTGGACCAGTCCATGGTAAGAGGCTTATCACACATGTGTAGGGGACAGATAAGGCAGGGCCCCCACACAGGGCTTATCCAGCCCTGCCATCCCTGCTGGGGAGCTGCCAGCAAATGGAGCCCCACCCGGGGCCTGGGGTCGCTCCTTGTGATGTCATAGCTCCTTATGATGTCATAATTTGTAGTGACATCATTGCTCTGTCCTTCCTTTGAGTCTGAGAGGGTTACTCGGATAGGAGTTGGAGAAGTGGAGTCAGACAGGAGCCCTATGGAGGCTCCAGGTCAGTGGGCCGGGTTGGGCTGGGCTGGAAGAGCGGATGGTGCCAGAGGATCCTCCCCAGGGCAGATGGCTATTTTCAGTGTTGCCTGCTCTGCTTATAGCCACCCCTCTTCCTGTCTTCCCAATCCAAAGAGGCTCTGGGTCCAGCAGGGGCAGGAGCAGTGGGAGAAATCTTTAGCCCTACTGCAGGGCGGCTCTGGGGTCAGCCTCTAGCTCAGGAAGCAGCCTGCTCCTCCCCACAGGGAGGCCTGACCCTTGGTATCTCAGGTCTGAGCGGAAGGGGGACCTTATTTTATGTCCTTGGAATAGCAGTGAGACAAGGCGGGATTATTAGGATGGCCAGACAGACGGACATAGCCAGACCTGTCATAACAATCACACACATTGACTTGCTGATGTGGGCTGCGGGCACAGCCTCACATCAACACCATCACATTCCAACAGCCATTCATTCTCATAGCCATGCCCGCAGCCACACGTGGACCACAGACATACCAGCACAGCCACAATATCACCTGTCCCATCTGGGAGAATATGAACCCCTTCTCTCTCATGGTTGTACTCCCAGAGAGTAGCTCAATTCCCAGCGCATGGCAGATGCACACTAATATTTGGTGAATAAATAAATGAACAATCAATTCCGCAGGGCCTGTGATCAGGCTGGGCTGAGGCCAGAGGAAATGCCATCCCACCTGCAAGCCTGCTCAACTTCTTCAGACCCAGGATGGGAGCATCGAGGAAGAACTACAGCCGCCCACCACCCCAGCCCCAACTTAAGTCATGGCCACTCCTCAGATAATAGGTCACTGAAGGGACCCCACTCCCTCCCTCCAGGTACAGTGAATCGGAACACTAGCACTCTGAAAGTGGGGTGTTAGGAACATGGGATGGCCTGGATGTTGGGTATCCCAGGCCCCCTGGGAATTGGGTGCTGGAGGCTCTGGGATTTGGGTCCTCTACAGTGTTGGGTGCTCTGGCACCCCTGACATTGGAAATTCGGGACTTTGAGAGCTCAAAGCTACTGAAAAGTCTGGGTGTTGAAAGCTCTGGAGATTGGGGCTGCCCCCTTGACAAGGCCAACATCAATATTTCCTGTCTGTATGCCTGATTTGACCTGGAACCAGGGCTGGGGTGGCGGGGTTGTTGGGGGAGAGAAAACACAACAAGATGGCCTGGGGGGGTGCATGAAGCCCCAGAGATAGCTCTTGGATCTGGAACCAATCTAACCTGCTCCTCTGGATGGGGCAGGGGAGGTGCCAGGCACTGATCACTGGGCTCCAGGTTCAAGAGAGGAGGAATCTAAGAGCAGAGCCCAGGCAGGTACCTCCCAATAATGCTTCCTGGCTACTGAGGCTGGGGCTCTAAGGAGGTGGAGACCCCTGACCAGGCCTGGCTTCAACTACAGGCAATGTCCATCCTCCCTCCCCTTCTCAGCAGGCCCCCAGCACTCCTCCATCAAGGTGCCCAGAGCTGCCAGCTCCCGCAGTGACCACCAGCAGTGGCCCAAGTCTGGTATTACTAGACACATACCTAAGCTGACTCTGTGTGTCCCACAGCAGAGGCCTTGACCCTGCAGGCTGATGACACCATGTGGGGAATCCAGCCAGCCCTGGGGGCTCTGACGCTGGGTGCAGCCCTCCCCAGAAATAGCTCCACTGGCTTTAGTAACTGGAGGCTCCTAAGCCACATCTTAGCCAGCAGTGGGTGGGGCCTGGCCCGCTTCTGCCCTGCTCCAGAAAGAAGCAGGCCCACCAAGATGTCTGACCCCATCAGTGCCCCCATCCTCTCCCCGGCCCCAATCTGTCCTCAGTTCTGATTCTCCTGCTTGCCCCACAGTGGCCCAGGCTGGCCATGCCCTTCCCACCCCGTGGGCCAGCTGCTCAGAGCCAGGAGCGCACAGCCAGGGACAAAGCTATCTCAGCCCTGACCTAAGCTGGGCCCAAACCTGCCTCCTTGGCGCCTCATTCTGATTGGGAAAAAATAACCTCTCTAGTCCCTATCTCAAGGAGAGGGCTTTTCTTTTTTTTTTTTTTTTTTTTTTTTTTTTTGCACCCAGAAAATGATTCGGTTCCAATGCAGAGAAGGCTTTTCAAACCAGAATCTTTCTCAAAAGTGTCTCCTCAGGACACAGCTCACCGTGCGGTTTCCTGAAGCTCTTTCTGGGTCAAGGTGGGTAAAACACACACATCCATAAATCTGTTTCTGTGTATACAAATAGGCTTTGTGCTATGCCAGTGTTAGTCTAATAAAGCCCTCTGGCCAACATCTCCAATCTCCCTAAACACTCCAAGGAAAATTTTCTCTTCACCCCACGAGCTAAAGTGCTAGGCACCTCCCTGTCCCCAGGTTGGCCCCCAAGGCTTCCTCTTTCTGATAGCGCCTCAGAGGGCTGGCCCTGAGCACCCATCCCCTTCTCTTTTTCTAACTGCCCAGGCCCCAAGCCTGAGGGCATCCTGGAAGTCCAGCTCTCAGGACCCTACACCTGCCTCCCTTCATATGGATTCCCTGGGCCATGAAAACTCTCCGAATCTTCACTGAGTGTTCTTAGTGCTCAGTGCCCTCTTCTAGGCCTGTCCTCACCCCAGCCTACTGCTGGAAGGGAGAAGCGGGGAGACCTTTTCCCCCTCATACTCTTTTTGTCTGCCTTCCACTACTTGGGGGCCTCTTCAGCAGCCTCCATCTACCTTCCCTGGGTGGTATTCCTTTTGATGAGCCCCAGGGAGGAAGCAAGGAGGAAGATCCTAAAGGCAATTTACAGAGGGAGTTAAGTCCTGGCAGGAGAGATGTGGAGGGCTTGGACCCCATCTGCCCAGTCCCAGGAATTGGGCATATACACAACTACACAGACCTGCAGCAGTACACACAAACAGTCTTCCACAGATGTACCTACACAAATATACAATCAGGGGTTCGGTGTCTGGCGGCACAGACACAACAGGTTGCCCAGGTCCAGCTGTGTGTGCACATACACACACAAGAAGGGCCTGCATTTGGTTTGTAGGAGAATAAAAATCCCAAACATGCTATACCTACTAGGTTTGGGGACAAAGTAAAAATGAAAACAATCTTGCTGATGAGACGAAGGTATCTTCCAGATCCGATCAGGGTTCCAACGTTAAGAGGACCCAGCGGAGAGCTGTCTTTGTACTCTGGCTCTGAGGAAGGTTTGTGGGATAGACCGCGTGTGGCCTGAAAGAACTCATATTGCAGGGAACGCCTGGGCTCGATGCCTGTTATCTTGTTCAGTGTCTCTGATTATAAATTGATAAACTGGAATCTCACCAACAATTGGTCTCGTGTGAGTTTGGCATGTGTGCACCCACTTCTTGGAGGCTGACTGTCTCAAGGAAAAAAAATTAAACCGTTTCCTGGCCAGAAAATGGTGAGTACTCAGGGTCCAAAGTAGAGACTGCCTCTGCAGGCTGGGCCCTTCCCTGAGCAGATGCCGCACTCAGGTCAGGGCAAAAACCAGTTCCTCTGACAGTACTAACTGGCCACTTTCCCTGAAAGGTGGTGGCTCTCACAAGGTATGCAAATGTGGGAGCCTCATTCCAAATGCCAGGCACCACTCCCCAGAAGCAACTTGGAGAAATGGGCTTTATATACACACACATGCATTTCCTTAGCCTTCTCTCCACTTTGCAAAGCTCCTTTTGGCAAAGACTCCACTCCCAAAGCCCCTTTGGCAAAGACTCCACTCCCAAAGCTACTTTTGGCAAAGGCTTTTTTTTTTTCTTTGAGACAGAGTCTTGCTCTGTCACCAGGCGGGAGTGCAGTAGCGGATCTTGGCTCACTGCAACCTCCGCCTCCCGGGTTCAAGCAATTATCCTGCCTCAGCCTTCTGAGCAGCTGGGACTACAGGCGCACGCCACCACACCCAGTTAATTTTTGTATTTTTGATTTTTTTTTAGTAGAGACAGGGTTTCACCATGTTAGCCAGGCTGGTCTCAAACTCCTGACCTCATGATCCACTCACCCCCGCTCCCAAAGTGCTGGGATTACAGGCGTAAGCCATCACACCCGGCCTGGCAAAGACTTTTTTTAAGCGGAGATTGTAACCCAGGTCTGTCTCACCATAGAAGGAAGGCGCAGGTTGGTATCTGCAGCCCCTGTAATACCACCTCAAAAGTAGAGCTGAGCAAGCCAGTGGTCCAGGAGGGAGAAAGGGCTCCCCAGATCCCGCCCATTCCAAGGAGTAGGACCTAGGCCTTAACCAGCAGTGCCCACAGTCTCCAGCGGCTCTGCTCCAAAGGGAATGGAATTTGTTCTGACTTCTCTCTAGGGGGAACGCAGGCGCAGAAGGCCAGGGGCCTGGCGGGCTAACTCCAGCCTCAGCCCCCCAAAGTGCCCCAGGCCTTCTGGCTTCATTCCAGCCTAGCCCGAAGGGGACAACATCTGCTAGCTAAAGGGCCCCAGCTGGAGGGCAGCGAGGCAGGGGCGGAGAAGGGGACTCCTTTGTGGAGCCCACTCCCAGGGGTTCGCGGGGATCAATCATTTGAAAGCTGGAGGGACTTGTAATTTTATTCTCTGGAAGGAGGAGCCTGAGAAGTCGGCACGGGGGGAGGAGATGGGATGGAAAGGGGAGGACGGCCAGGGGAGCTGTACGGGTAGGGGAGGGACTTGGCTAGATCTCCCAAGCCTTCTCCACTCTTCAAACTTTCACCAAACTCTTAGCCCCCGCCTCCCCGAAACCAAAACACAACAGGCTGTGGAAGAGCTGCGGGCGGCGCGGCGGGGCGGGCGGACTCGCGGCGGCACAGAGCCTCGGGAGGCTGATGCAACTTTCCCTTTAAGAAAGCCACCTGGGCGCACCGTGGTGCGGACCCAGCACGCCTGGGCCGGGGGCTGCAGCATGGTAAGGGGGCTGGGGGATGGGGACGCTGCGGCTCGCGCCTCCGTCTGTCCTGCCGTCGGTCTGAGTGTTCGGCGGCTCCGCGGGGCTGAGCCCCAGGACCAGCGTGTGCGTGTGTGAGTGTGTGTGTGTGTGTGTGTGTGTGATCGCGCATGTATGCGGGCATCTGTGGATAAGAGTGTGAGTGCACGCACCGGGATGTCTGTCTCGCCGCAAAGGTCGGGGTAGGTGCGCGCGTCTGGGTGTCGCCGCTATCACCAAGGAGCTGAAGCGGGAGGGAGAGGGAAGTGGGGGGAGCTCCTGCGTTGGGGTGGAGGGGCGCCAGACGCCGGTTCGATCGGGGGCGGCGGGCGCAGGCTGGGCGGGTAGCGCCGGAGCCAGAGCGTGGCACGGTCCGTCAGGGGCGCCAGGGGTTCTGCGCTCCGGGGGCCTGCGGGGGTCGAGAATCGGCCGTGCCTGCTCCCAGCGTGCGGGCTCCTGCTCGCTCCAACGCCTCTCAGCGCCCGCCAGCCTGAATGCCTATCTGGCCCCATCCAGCCGGCCTGCCTCCCTATCTGCCCGCCTGGTGCCGGTGCCGGTGCCCGTGTCCGTGCGCCCGCGGGTCCCAGGAAGCCGCGAGGGAGAGTCCTGGCGCACTCAGCCTCTCTTTGTCCGCGGCTCCTGTGGCCGCGGCTTTGGGAAGGGACTGCGAGCGAGCGGGGAGTTCTTTTGGGGCTGCTACCCTGGGAAGAATCCGTGCCCTCCCCACCCCAACCCTCACTACCGGCACGCCTAGGGCGGGCCCGGGCAGCCGCAGGTGAGGGCAGAGGCCTAGCAGCCCCGTAGCGCCCAACCCCGGCCAGCGCTCCGCACCCGGCAGCCGCTGCAGATCGCTAGCCGGCGGCGGGGCCCAGCTGGGCGGGAGAGTGGGGCTTGCCCGAGGGCCTGGAGGGGCCGGAGCCGGCCCGGGGGCGGGGCCGCGGGGCGGGGACCTCGGCGCCCGGGTACTTTTCCACCGCAGGGGCCGGGGGCGGGGCCGCCGCCTCCACGCCAGCTTAGGCCCACACGTGGCGGCTGATGTAACGCCCGTGCCCCCACATCTCTCTCCCGATTAACGCGGACGCACCCGGCTTCGAGGAACCGGGACGCTGCGGGCGGTGCCGCTGCTCCGAGAGCGACCGCGCCCCTGCCCGCCGGCCGGGGCCTCCGCGCCGCGGGCTGGCAGATACTTAAAGGAGCCGCACCCCCTTTCGGGCCTGCTCTCGACAAGCCACGCCCCCTCGCGGATCACTCTTAAAGGAGGCGCGACCCCGCTAGCTGACAGCTTCCGCACAAAACACGCTCCATTTCTCCGTTGAAAGGAGCATGAGGGTGCGGCCGCTGGGAAAGAAAGGCTGCGGGGCGAGGATTAGGGAAGGTGAGAAGAGCCTGAAAGGTTAAAGACTTCCAAAGTGAGGGAGCATCAGAAGGTTGGAGAGTAGTGGGTGAGGGGACTGGTTCTGTGGACTAATGGGCGACACTGAGCATGCCCAAGTGTTTCCAGGGACCGCAGAGAAAACGCCCCCCTTACTTGGCCTGGGCGGCGACTGCGGCTGTACCCGCTCAGTTCCCGGCTCTGCGGACACAGAAGAATCACACCTCTGCCCTGGAAAAGCCCTCCATCTAGTGGGGAGCCAGACTTGGGCACAAGCAAGCAAGCCGCAATGCTACGTGTGGCAAGCGTGCTAATGAAACGTACACAGCGTGGGGTACAGTAGGAAGGCTGACAGGAACGGGGAGGACCTAGGCAGGCTTCATGAAGACAGTATCCTTGGGATAGGTTTTGAGGATGGGTAGGATACATACAGGTGGAAATAGGGACAGGGGTGCTCAAAAAAGAGGGAACGGGTGCCAAAGGCATGAAGCAGGAGCCCTCTGGAAATGCTGGTTAGTCTCACATGGTGGCAGATGGCCGCAGGTTGCTGACCTGGGCTCCCGCGTAGAACTAAGTTAAGGGCTCTTTTCTGCTCCCACGGCCCCTCCAATTCCTCCATCACAGTGAATGGAAATTATGCGTCTTTTTCCATCTTCTTACTAAACCGTGAGGTCCTTGAAGCCAGGGAAAGAGCCTATCACCTTTCCATCCCCAGTGAGGACTCGAGGCTTGGCGCCAGATGGACGGTTAAAACTGATTGACCTGGCAGTTCTGTCTGACACTCGGCAGTGAGACTGTCAAGATGGGCCAGGGTTCTGTGACTGATGTCTCAACATCTGCCTTTGAGTGGCTCACAAGCAGCTCAGACCAGCTTGTCCAACCCAGCCCTCCTGTCCCCGCACCAAACCTGCACCATCCCCAGCATTTGTCTCTGGGCCGGGCACCAGCTTCCTCCCACTCTACCAGCAGAAACCAGAGACTCCTTATCCCTCCCCCGACCAAGTTCGATTCATCCCCAAGTCTCTTCGTGTTGCCTTGATATTTCTCTGAATCTGTGCACCTCTCCTCACCCTACTGTCACCTTCCTAACCTGGGCCCCCTCGTTTTTGGCCTGGCCCATTTCTAATTGATTTCCTCTCTTCCACTTCAGCCTTCCTCCAGTCCTTGCTCCACACTGTATCTAGGGGGATGGTTTCAAGATGCACATTCCACCAACTGCTCCTCCTTGAAGTTGATCTTCTGCTTAAAAGCTTTCAACAGCCACCCTTGTCCTTAAGATAAAGACCAAAATCCAGACCCTAAAGGCCCTGGCCAGGCATCTATGATGTCCACTTTCATCCTTGACCATTTCTCCCTGGCTGTCTGAGCTCCAGCCTCAGAGCCTTTCCACATGTTGTTTCATTTGCTTGAATCTGTCTTCCTCTTCCCTTCCTCATTATTGCTACTTTGCCTAGTTAACTCCTTTAGACCCTTAAATATCACTTCCTCAGGGAAGCCCTCCCTGAGTTTCACACAAGGCCAGGCCCCCCTATCGTAGAGTCTCATAACACAATCTTTCCCTTTTCCACCCTTTATCTCACTATGCAGTTCTTTATTTTTAAATTTATTTTTATTTTTATTTTTTGAGACAGAGTCTCCCACTGTAGTGCGGTCGCGCGATCTCAGCTCACTGCAATCTCTGCCTGCTGGGTTCAAGCAATTCTCCTGCCTCAGCCTCCTGAGTAGCTGGGACTACAGGCATGCGCCACCACACCCAGCTAATTTTTTTGTATTTTTAGTAGAGATGGGGTTTCACCATGTTGACCAGGATGGTCTCGATCTTCTGACCTGTGATCCACCCGCCTTGGCCTCCCAAAGTGCTGGCATTACAGACGTGAGCCACCGCGCTTAGCCTATTTTTTTATTTTTTTAGACAGAATTTTGCTCTTTTTGCCCAGGCTGGGGTGCAATGGCTCGATCTCAGCTCACTGCAACCTCTGCCTCCTGGGTTCAAGTGATTCTCCTGCCTCAGCCTCCCAGGTAGCTGGGATTATAGGCGCCCAC